ACTGCCCTAACTAAATGCTTAATTGTAAATGACAGCTCAGCAATTAAGGAAAAAAGTCAACAACTTACAAGCTAGAGATACTCAGTTACATGTTGCATCTAGAATGGTGTATTTAACACCTTACCCGCTCAATTGGGGATGCCATTCACAATTTTATGTTTGTCATATTGAGAAGGTGAATATAAGTAGTGACAATATAATCATACATAAATAGATATCCCAATATAGCTGCTCATCAGATCCTGCCAAGTCATCCTTCACAATTTTAATTCTAGATATAATGACTATATTGACATTTAAGGCACAGCAACATCGTGATACACCTTTTAAAGTTCTCTAGCGAAAGGTATCATCACGAACATGAGAATCACTGGAGGCTAGTATAGGTAATGTGATCCATATTAGTTGAATGGGTATCTATGAAGTGAGAGAGAGCAAGTGACAAAAAACACCCAAAAAGAAACTATAATCAAAAAAGGTAATTAAAAACTTGGCCAATTATACGCTGTATAAACTACTGGAAATTCCACTCAGTCATATTAAGAAAAAAAAAACAAACAAAAAAATCCAACCCTTATATGAAGGACGAATATGAGAACCCTTCATTTAGCCCTTGTAGTGATAAAGTTTTTTTGTTTATATATCCAGAAGGTCTCCTTCTGACGAAGTTTGATAACCTACCCACCTTTGCACGGTGGTTGTGGTATGTGTTCGAAGCCCATAAAACGAATACCAGCAGATGAATGGTCATGATGCAAATGTAAATGCCTAGAGATTGGAGTTTGTAAACGTCTTTTTACCAAGTTCACATGTTCCCTGATTCTGTATTTAAAGTGACGGAATGTATTCCCCACATACATCAAACCACAGGAGCATGTGAGCAAATAGATTACTCCAACCGTGCGGCAATTGAAAAATGAAAGTGAATAAAACGTTTCTGTCAGAGTAGCTTTTAAGGTGTCTATTAATGAAGGGACATGCACTGCAATGGCCCAATTGGAAGGTGCCTGCTGGTAAGTAGTTCTGGAAGTGGCCTTGATTGACAGTAGTGGGAAGGTGACTGGGTGCCAAAAGGTCTCTCAGATTCCTCCCTCCACTTGCCGTAATTGATGGATAGGGAGTTACAACTTCTTTAAGATGTCTATCCGATGTTAAGATAGGCCAAAACCTCCTGAAGATACTCTGCATGGGTTCCCAGCCTGTATCGAAGGTGCCAATACACTGTATTATGCCACCTTATGATTTTTTGGTACTCTCTTCAATTAGGGACTGGCGATCTGTTTCAAGAGCTCTAGCATACGCCCTTTTTAGAACCCTATTTGGGTATCCCTTTTCCCTAAAGGAATGCCGTAGGGCTCTTGCTTTGTCCTTGAAGTCATCCAAGGAGGAGCAGTTACCTCAAATATTGGCCGGTAGGGATCCCGGCCTTTAGTAGAGTAGGATGGTAACTTGACCATTTGAGAAGGCTGTTTTTTGTCATCTTTTTCCTAAAAAGAGTGGTCTGTATTTTACGGTCACTCCCTAAAAATATGGAAATATCAAGGAAGGAAAGTTTCGATCCACCTATCTCACTGGTGAAGCATAGATTGAAGGGCTTGATGTTAAGTCTCTTAACAAATTCCTCGAAATCACATACGGTACCAAGCCAGACAATAAAAATGTTGTCTATATACCTTTTCCAATCAAGGACTTGGTCCGTGTATGATTTAAGGGTAGTGTCAGCCATAATATACTTTTCCCACCAGCCTATGTGTAGGTTTGCATAAGATGGTGCACAGGGCGTACCCATTGCATTGCCAATTACTTGTTGGTATAATTTACCATTAAATAGGAAGATGTTGCGTGTTAATCTGAGTAGTTCAGATATAAGGTCCACATATGCCTCTGGTAATTTAGGGTTAAGGTGGAGGAAGGCCTGAATGTGTTCAATCCCCAAATTGTGTGGAATTGAACTATAGAGTGTCTCAACATCTAGGCTGCAAAGAATAGCATTGCTGGGAGCTCTAGATGAGTTAGAAATCTGAGTAACTGCTTAGTATCCCTTAAATAAGAGGGAAGCCTTTGTAACAAAGGTAGCAGGATCCTGTCCACGAATATGCTTACATTTTGAGTAAGAGTGCCATAGCCAGATACAATCGGCATGCCTGTTGGTTCCGTCAGGGACTTATGTATCTTAGGTAAGCAATAAAAGGTGGACAGAATGGGTTCTTTAGTGTTCATAAAATCAAACTCGTCTCTGGAGATAAGATCTGAATTTAAAGCCTTAGTCAGTAGGGTTTGTAATTCGTCCATAAATTGGGGGGTTGGGTCAGCTGTGAGGATACGGTATGTAGCCTTATCCATCAAAAGGTGCTCTGCCATACTGATGTAACGTTCCTTGTCCATTACCTCCTTTATCTGAGGCCTTGATTATTATGTTAGGGTTTTTTTTAAGTTGTTTAATTGCCTGCCTTTCCTGTCTACTGAGGTTCTTCTCAACATTTAGTTGAGATTCGTCAATTGTTAAGGACTCAATTTCTCTACACAGAGAACACCTATATCCAGGAACACCTCCAGATTCTTATAGTCCTTGAAGTGTGGAGTGAATCTACTTTTAGATTTTAAATTAAAGCGTGGAATCTTACTACGTATAGATCCAACACCCAGGTCCAATAATTCGACTAGTGTTTGGAGACAATCTAGGTTCCGCAAATTTTAATTAATAAAATTACCTAATTATGTAAAAATATTACATAAATATATACGTAGAATTATATATATATATATATATATATATATATATATATCTCTATCTATATACACACCTATATATAAATAAAAATAACTAAAAAAAAAAATGATTTATATATATAAATCTTTTTTTTTAAAGTTATTTTTATTTATATATAGGTGTGTATATAGATATATATATAGCAATAGTGCCAGGAATACAGCTTTGTATTCCTGGCACTATAGTATCCAGATAATTGAGCAGTGAGACAGTAGGGGCATGATCAGTACACCAAAACTACATAATTAAGCTAAAGTTGTTTTGGTGCCCATAGTGTCCCTTTAAAGTGTCCCTCTTTGTCGTTTTCATATATTTGTAGGTATGCAATGGTAATGCTTTCACTTGCAGGGTTAAAACTGCAGGGACGGGGGCGGAGCCTGACAGCCAAGCTGAGTGGTCGCACCTCAGCAAAGCTCCTATCTAAATAACCTGAAAAACGAGCAAAAACCTGCAAATTCAATGCTTTTTACACTCCAGACACTGGGGCTTAATATCGAGACAATGCATAACCGAGCCTGGGACCGCAAAATGCGACTGATTCCAGGGGATGGACCTGAGGCCTACCTGCGGCCTACTCAGGAAGCATGGGGGAGACAGCCGATCCCATCGCTGTCTCTCTGTGTCCTTGACCTCGGTTTGTTCCTGGCTCTGTCTCCTCTCATATACGTCGAGTCCGGCCATTCTAAGGTCCGGTAGACGTATCTCTCCTCTGTATTTGCCTCTGTTTAGCTGGATCCTGCGTGTAGGGGTATATTCTCGTTACATTACGATAGGGCCATGGACCCCACAGATTTAGCTCAACAGATGGCGTCCCATGAGGCAAGATTTGTAGAGCAGGATCACCGTATGGATCAGATAGCTCAGGCTCTCCAGACGCTCCTAGCTAGAACCGTTCCAGCAACCACACCTAACCCTCCTACGCCCCTCAGCCGACTGCAGCCTATAACAAAGGAGGTCTCTGCGGAACACTCTCTCCCCCCCCCCCTGCCAGTGAGGGATATCCCGGCAACCAGAGCATGTG